CTTGGGAAGACAAACCTCATCACTCCAGATGTCCCCCCCTTCCTCCTTCTTCCTCTCACCTTATATACTGAGCATGATGTCCTATGGTATGGAATATCCCTTTGGTCAGTTTGGGTCACCTGTCCCAGCTGTGTCTCCTCCCAGTCTCCCATGCACCCCCAACTTCCTTGCCAGTGTGGCAGTACGGAAAGCAGCAAAGGCCTTGGCTCTGTGTAAGCTCTGCCCAGCAATAACAAAAACGTCTCTGCAATATCAACTCTGTGTTCAGCACAAAACCAAAACACAGCCCCATACTAGCCACTGTGAAGAAAGTCAACTCTACCCCAACACAAACCAGCACACAAGGTCCAACTGCATTGTTACCAAATTTACCTCCTCCCAGTCCTGTCTCCCTGATTCCACCAAAGTCCTATTCATGCATCTTTTCCCGTGTTTATATGATTGGTGAATTGACATCTTTCTGCCACTCACCAGTCTCCTTACTGCAGTGCCCTCCAGAGTCAGGGCTGGGTTTGGAAGAAGAGCTGTTGGTTTGTGTGCCTTCCCTCCAACCAGAGAGGCAGGAATTGGTTCAAACATCTGCCTAAACTGTCAGCTCTCTGAGACATAACCTGTACCCATGGATTAATAAATTCAGTTTTCCTGGAACCACCTGGGACTGAGGCCTCCTCTCCCTGCAGCCACTGCAAGGAGAGCATCTCCATAGACACTGTTATAACGAGAGAAAATCCCAGAGAGCTGATGGGAAGGGTGAATGCTGAAACCCATGGAGAAGAGGCAGCTCTGACTCTCTGCTCTGATCATATCATCTGTTCCCTCTCATTCTTCCTTTTCTCCCACACCCTGCACCAGCCCCACACCTTTTCCTTTACCTCCTGTGGCTGAAGTCCAGGGCACTTCTCTTGGCCTCTTCCTGTGTGCCACATCCCAATCCTTCATGTAGCGCTCAGAAGGGATGTCCTGTTCCCATTTCCTTCCTGGACTGTTTACCTGTATCCACATGTGCTGCCTGGCTCAGCACACCACCCCCAACAGACCTGAGAGCTGTGACTGCTCCTGCAAACACTCACCGTTGCTGCTGCCCACTAGTCTACAGCTGGTTGGACCCGTTGCACCGCCCAGAGGTCTGAGATTTATCACATTCAGTTCCCCCCAATGGGAAGCTTTCGTGGAAACCTGCACTCCTTGCCCATCCTGGAGCTCCTCAGTCAGTGCTGGGTGTGGGACTATCCATTCTTTTCTTTGGGGCAGCAGCTGGAAGTGTGTGGTGCTACCTACGATGCAAATTGCAGTGAGCTGACGGCAGCTGCGCAGCAAGGACCTGATGCTATTGCTCCTGGTGACATCAGCCCTGAGCGTGAGCAGCACCACTGCTCTGCATACTGATGCAGCAAGAAGCCTGACATTTAATCAGTGCTCTTACGTAGCCCCTGCACTGAGCTCACACCACACCTTCTCCCAGATACCCTTCTGGTCTTCTCACTCACCGTTTACATCGGCAGCGTTTGGAAAGCAGCCACTCCCACCAGTGTTACAGAGACTGAAAAGCTGCATTTGCTCCTCTCTCCTTAAGTTGCTGCAGGATTGATCCGAAGAAAGAATCTCCCTTTTGTTTATTACTGAGCCAGCAACAGCCAGCTCTTCCCTTTGAAGCCTCTTGCAAACACCATGTTGGTTCCTTACCTGTTGAAGCCTTTCT